ATGAAAAGGCAATTATACATTTACACACCTAAGGATTATATCAACCAAAAAAGTAACTGCGTCCTCTATGCGTCCTCTATACTTTCTCATAAATGAGTAAGCGGCATTTAAAACAATTATAAACATATAATACACACTGTTTCTCAATATTTCATTACAGCTTCAGATGCATAATATTTTCATCTCCTTCAAGCAAGATACACAAAAAGCACGTTCAATTCGGACGGTTGTCGTGGTAATAAACACCGTAATCAGCAACTTTTCGCGTGTCAGCGCTTAATGCGCATCTCCTATATGAAAAGCATTTTAGGGGGCCCTTGGCTTTTGGGGGCCCTTGGCTTTTGGGGGCCCAAGGCGGTCGCCTACCTTTGCCTAATGGGTAAGTCCGCCCCTGATTCAGAGGTTTGGGTGGATTCCACTTATGTATCAATTCATTCTTCAGTCATTATTAGATTATTATAAAGATTGACATGTTTTTTAAACATTAATTAAATAAAACACTTAATTTAACAATAACGTCTATGTGTTTTAAATGACATATTATTATTTTCAAGAGGTATTTCTAGTTCTTCTTATGAACACAAGATTACAAACAAACAAAAGTTTACACAAAAACAAATGCTGATAATACATTTTGTGAAAAAAGTGAATAAGTCAAATCCTTTTAAGAATTTAACACATTACAATATAGATATCACTGACCAGAGACCAAAGAATCCCCTGCCTTGGTCCCGAGATGCTGGGATTGACTCCAGAACCTCCCGTGACCCTACAGAGGAAGAATGGATGGACCATAGATAGGCATTATTCACATTTTAACACATATTTCATGGCCAGTATGTATTTATTTAGCAACAGATCACAATCATTGTAAATCTTTTTGGTATAAAAAAAGACTATAAAAAAATTATTTTTACACTCTGCATTTTTTTGGCCAGGTTATTTCCATCAAATTAATTTTGTCACTCACAATTAGGTTCCCAATACCAGTTCAGTGGAACATGATGTGCGGTCTCAGTGCAATGCTGCCATCTGGAGGAGATGTGAAGAGCGGCAAATGCAAAGAAATCTTGTAATCCTTAGGTTTAATGTAAGTCACTGTGTAAGTTGCCATATCCACAAGTACCTATTACTAACAGATAGCAGATCAAATGTACAGTTAAATGTGAAGCATGGGAAAATCTAGCTTAAACCACTTATTCTCTGGGGCGTTTTTGGTATTTTCGCCTAAATGGAGCATTCGGCGCACATGAGTCCATGACCAGTAGGGGGCGCCAGGAGAAAATCCAATGAGAAAAAAACGTTTTTTTTTTTATTGTAAAAATGCAGAAAGTTTTATGTTGAAGTTAGGGTTAGATTATGGTATTTATAACTAGCCAGAAGATGATGCTGGCTTTTGCTGGTCATCAGACTAGGCAGATGATGAAGAGTATGAGGAGGAAACTTCCCCTGTCAGGATCACTAGCATCCACCATAAATCCAAGCCAAATAGAAATTTCTTCTGAGATACATCTAATAAATGATAACATACAAACAACGTAAATTATCAACAATATCAGGACCAGCATTTATAATTTCACGAAATCCCAAATAATGGAAGGGGGGGGGGGACAATGATTGATTTTAATCTATAATGTAAGGGATAATTTAGATTGAGCCACTCGTTATCACAACATAAACACCTAAAACACCTGATCATCTGGCTGTACATTGTCCCATTTATTACAGCTGCTTCCAAAATAACTGGGCATGAAATAATAGTCTGAGCTGAAAGTATTTTAATATGTAAGGAATGAGACTGTAGTAATTTCAGAGACATGAATCACAGTGATGCAGGAAATCAACTGTGACAACAGTCTGTTATACAGATTAGCATTATTATACACAAATATTTAACAGATTGGAAAAAAGTACTGGGTAATATAGTATATGACCACTTTTGCACAATAATATTTTAACAATAATTATGGAAATTTATGTAATATGTGTATATCATTCAATTTGACAAACATTTAACGTTAATAAAAGGAACTTCATGATGGAAATTCCTCAGTGGCTATTCTGTTGTGGAAACATGGTCATAAGGAACTTTGTGAGGGAAATAGGCAATAACCATTTGTATTTTTATTTCCACTCTTGTTGTTCACTTCTTTTTCTTTGTCTTTATTGGCATTTGTTGCATGTAGACCTTTAATTGCATAAAACATTTTTAGAGTCTAAGTTAGGGTTAGTCTAATATAAAAAAAAAATTCTCAAAAGAACGGATCTTACATGAGAGAAATATGAGTAAACACATAATTTATATGAAACCATAGGATATGCAATGAAATGTGATTGATTTCTACTTGCAAGCAAATGGTTTTACCCAAAGGAATCAATCTTATATGAGATGACTGAATAAATTATTCATATGAAACCATATGAAATGCTATTAAATGCAAATGATTTCTACTCGCAAGCAAACAAAATTGTTTAAAAACAAACCATCTACTATCTGTAAAAATCAGAAAAGAGGTTTATGTTTCTGTTACACAACTTTGAGGAATGATAAATGAAACTAAAATTCGATCCAAAGGCAAAAAGCATGCAAAATAATTTTTATTTGGTGTACATACAATTCACTAAGAGGAAAAATTGTCTGTAAACAGACAAGTGGTATTCCAGAAATATTATATATATATAACTTAACAACAACTTACCAGGGGGGAACATGACGATTAAACTGAAGATAATTAATGTCAAGTTTAGCAGCATTTTCCCTCGGTCTCTGAGTGAGTCGCTCTGTTTTAAGATGACAAGCTCAAAGTGGTATTATTTCTTGTATGTGCGTCTCTGAGAGTGTGTGGGGGTGAGTGAACATGATTTCACCAAGTTAAACATGTTCCTTAATCAACATCCTTGCTGATCCTGGAACAACATTCCACCCAACCAATCAGATTTGAGAGATCTGAGTGAGATTTACAGTTGATGTCAAATTTAGGCTTACAACAAGGCTTCTTATTCACCTATCGTTTCCCTGTGATTTTAGGGATAATTTATGGGTTATGTTTAGGGATAGAAACATATTCAGAGGTGGTTAAGGGAAAATATATAAATGGAAAAATAAATATGTTCTCTTCATTTACAAGGCAACTAACAGAGAGATAGAAAAGATTTGTTATTGTTTGGAAACTTCCTTGTAGATTCCATGCCATGATTTAAAATATTAAATAAAACATTTTGGTAACACTGCATTTTAAGGTGTCCTTGTTACATATGTTACATGTACTTAATATTATAATAACCATCCATTATGCATAATTACATGCAAGTAACCCCAAGCCAAATCCAAATCCTAACCATATAGTACATGTAGTTAATTAATATTACTCATTACTTATATGTATAATTACATCATAACAAGGGCACCTTAATATAAAGTGTAACCAGCATTTTAATATAACAATAGTGAAAAGCATGTTTGTTTTTGAATTGACACATTTATTGTGTATTTTATTCCTTGATATGTACTAGGGCTGTCAAAATAGCTGAAAAACTAAATTCGAATTTTGTACTTAAATGTTCAAAATTATATTCGAATTTATAATGCATAATTTCAGTTAGAGTGAAGAAAAGCTTTTGGCTTTTCTCCTGAGGCCACAAGAGGGCGCATCATTCAAAGCATAAGATAACATGACTATCTGCGAAAAAAAGTGCATAATGTTTAAAATAATATTTATACACCAATTATAAATAAGTTGCTTAAACAACTATAAACAAAACAGCATCATGTATGTAT